AAGCATCAACAGGGTATAGTGTTGCAGGGTAAGAATCAACAGGGTATAGTGTTGCAGGGTAAGAATCAACAGGGTATAGTGTTGCAGGGTAAGAATCAATAGGGTATAGTGTTGCAGGGTAAGCATCAACAGGGTATAGTGTTGCAAGGTACGAATCAACAGGGTATAGTGTTGCAGGGTAAGAATCAACAGGGTATAGTGTTGCAGGGTAAGATCAACAGGTATAGTGTTGCAGGGTAAGCATCAAAGGGTATAGGTTGCAGGGTAAGAATCAACAGGGTATAGTGTTGCAGGGTAAGAATCAACAGGGTATAGTGTTGCAGGGTAAGAATCAACAGGGTATAATGTTGCAGGGTAAGCATCAACAGGGTATAGTGTTGCAGGGTAAGAATCAACAGGGTATAGTGTTGCAGGGTAAGAATCAACAGGTTATAGTGTTGTAATGTAAGAATCAAACAGAACATGGTGTTGCAGGGTAAGAATCAACAGGGTATAGTGTTGCAGTGTAAGAATCAACAGGGAATAGTGTTGCAGGGTAAGATCAACAGGGTATAGTGTTGGTAGAACATCACAGTGTATAGTGTTGCAGGGTAAGAATCAACAGGGTATAGTGTTGCAGGAAAGAATCAACAGGGTATAGTGTTGCAGGGTTAAATCAACAGGGGTATGTGTTGCAGGGTAAGAATCAACAGGGTATAGTGTTGCAGGGTAAGATCAACAGGGTATAGTGTTGCAGGGTAAGAATCAAACAGGGTATAGTGTTGCAGGGTAAGAATCAACAGGGTATAGTGTTGCAGGGTAAGAATCAACAGGGTATAGTGTTGCAGGGTAAGAATCAACAGGGTATAGTGTTGCAGGGTAAGATCAACAGGGTATAGTGTTGCAGGGTAAGCAATCAACAGGGTATAGTGTTGCAGGGTAAGAATCAACAGGTATAGTGTTGCAGGGTAAGAATCAACAGGGTATAGTGTTGCAGGGTAAGCATCAACAGGGTATAGTGTTGCAGGGTAAGAATCAACAGGGTATAGTGTTGCAGGGTAAGCATCAACAGGGTATAGTGTTGCAGGGTAAGCATCAAACAGGGTATGTGTTGCAGGGTAAGCATCACAGGGTATAGTGTTGCAGGGTAAGCATCAACAGGGTATAGTGTTGCAGGGTAAGAATCAACAGGGTATAGTGTTGCAGGGTAAGCATCAACAGGGTATAGTGTTGCAGGGTAAGAATCAACAGGGTATAGTGTTGCAGGGTAAGCATCAACAGGGTATAGTGTTGCAGGGTAAGCATCAACAGGGTATAGTGTTGCAGGGTAAGAATCAACAGGGTATAGTGTTGCAGGGTAAGCATCAACAGGGTATAGTGTTGCAGGGTAAGCAATCAACAGGGTATAGTGTTGCAGGGTAAGAATCAACAGGGTATAGTGTTGCAGGTAAGCATCAACAGGGTATAGTGTTGCAGGTAAGAATCAACAGGGTATAGTGTTGCAGGGTAAGCATCAACAGGGTATAGTGTTGGCATGGTAAGCATCAACAGGGTATAGTGTTGCAGGGTAAGAATCAACAGGGTATAGTGTTGCAGGGTAAGAATCAACAGGGTATAGTGTTGCAGGGTAAGAATCAACAGGGTATAGTGTTGCAGGGTAAGCATCAACAGGGTATAGTGTTGCAGGGTAAGCATCATCAGGGTATAGTGTTGCAGGGTAAGCATCCACAGGGTATAGTGTTGCAGGGTAAGCATCAACAGGGTATAGTGTTGCAGGGTAAGAATCAACAGGGTATAGTGTTGCAGGGTAAGAATCAACAGGGTATAGTGTTGCAGGGTAAGAATCAACAGGGTATAGTGTTGCAGGGTAAGCATCAACAGGGTATAGTGTTGCAGGGTAAGAATCAACAGGGTATAGTGTTGCAGGGTAAGCATCAACAAGGGTATAGTGTTGCAGGGTAAGCATCAACAGGGTATAGTGTTGCAGGGTAAGCATCAACAGGGTATAGTGTTGCAGGGTAAGCATCAACAGGGTATAGTGTTGCAGGGTAAGCATCAACAGGGTATAGTGTTGCAGGGTAAGAATCAACAGGGTATAGTGTTGCAGGGTAAGAATCAACAGGGTATAGTGTTGCAGGGTAAGCATCAACAGGGTATAGTGTTGCAGGGTAAGCATCACAGGGTATAGTGTTGCAGGGTAAGCATCAACAGGGTATAGTTTTTGCAGGGTAAGCATCAACAGAGTATAGTGATTGCAGGGTAAGCATCAACAGGGTATAGTGTTGCAGGGTAAGCATCAACAGGGTATAGTGTTGCAGGGTAAGCATCATCAGGGTATAGTGTGTCAGGGAAGCATACAGGGTATAGTGTTGCAGGGTAATGCATCAACAGGTTATGTTGCAGGGTAAGTCATAACAGGGTTATAGTGTGCGGTGAAGCATCAACAGGGTATAGTCTTGCAGGGTTAAGCACAACAGGGTAAGTGTTGCAGGTAAGCATCATAGGGTTATAGTGTTGCATGGTAAGAATCAACAGGGTATAGTGTTGCAGGGTTAAAATGAACAGGGTATTTTAGTTAAACATGGTCAAGCAATATCAGGGTATATGGTTTACATGGTAAGAATCAACAGATATGATCTGCAGGGTAAAATCAAAGGTATAGTGTTTGCAGGGTAAGAATCAACAGGTATAGTGTTTAGGATAGCATCATCAGGTATGGTGTATGCAGGGTAAGCAATTCAACAGGTATAGTGTTGCAGGTAAGCCCTCAACAAGTATAGTGTTCAAAGTAAACATCAACAGTATAGTGCTTGCAGGGTAAGACTCATACAGGGCTATAGTGTTGCAGGGTAATCCTATCAACAGGTATAGTGCTTGAGGGTATAGCCATCACAGGGTTTAATACCCCTGTTAGGGTAACCCTCAACAGTATAGGTTTGCAGTAAACCCTCATACAGGTATAGGTTCATAAGCATCAACAGGTATAGGTTGCAAAAGCATCATACAGCGTATAGGCTTGCAGTAAGCTCATACAGCTATAGGTTAAAGTACGTAACAGTATAGGTTGCAGTGTACTGATCAGCTAGGCTATATGATTGCAGGGTAATCTCAACAGTATAGTTTGGCAGGGTAAACCTCAACAGTATATGGTTTGAGTACCAACAGGTATGTGTTGCAGTAACCTCAACAGGTATAGTGTTGCAGTACCTCAACAGTATGTGTTGCAGGTATCAACAGGTATAGTGTTGCAGGGTAAGCATCAACAGGTTAGTTTGCAGGGTTTGAGCATCAACAGGATAGGTTGCAGGGTAAGCATCAACAGGTTAGTGTTCCAGGTAGCATCTACAGGGTATAGATTGCAGGGTAAGCATCAACAGGGTATAGTGTTGCAGGGTAAGCATCAACAGGGTATAGTGTTGCAGGGTAAGCATCACAGGGTATAGTGTTGCAGGGTAAGCTCATCAGGTATGTTTGCAGGGTAGCATCATCAGGGTAAATATGTTGCAGGGTAAGCATCAACAGGGTATAGTGTTGCAGGTAAGCATCAACAGGGTATAGTGTTGCAGGGGTAAGCATCATCAAGGTATAGTGTTGCAGGGTAAGCATCATCAGGGTATAGTGTTGCAGGGTAAGCATCAACAGGGTATAGTGTTGCAGGGTAGTGCTGTCTGGTGTTCATGTGAACACTGTCGTTCATATCAGCATTATGTCGTGCTGACGCGGCCATGACAGGACAGGCTGGGGGCAATAGTCCTTGTCGTTTCCCAGCGACACACACACTCACACACACACACGGTGAGGTGTGTATCTCTCAGTGTATACACACCTCGACGTGTGTGTATTCGCGTGTATAAAGTGATAACTTTAATCTGTATTTTAGTAATCAAAATATCTGTCATCAATAATGTTGGGTTGATACGCAGCTTTAATGACCCTCGAGCATCGATAGACTTAAATGATTCTCGTACAGCTGATAGACTTTAAATACCCTCATACAGCTATAGGCTTTAAATACCCTCATACAGCTATAGGCTTTAAATACCCTCATACAGCTATAGGCTTTAAATACCCTCATACAGCTATAGGCTTTAAATACCCTCATACAGCTATAGGCTTTAAATACCCTCATACAGCTATAGGCTTTAAATACCCTCATACAGCTATAGGCTTTAAATACCCTCATACAGCTATAGGCTTTAAATACCCTCATACAGCTATAGGCTTTAAATACCCTCTTACGAGCTATAGGCTTTACTTATTCTTGAGTCGGCTGTAGGCTTTAATGACCCAGTAACCATGAAATCTATTTTCACCTTTTGGATGGGACCCCTTGATGATAGTAATGGGTTCTTGATTCCCTGATATGGAGCTACCCTTCTCTTCATCGGATCAGATCTGATTACCTCCTATTACCCAGATGCTGTAAGACTCTAACGGTTTTAGCGGAAATATCTTCAGTAAATGCATTTTCTCATTATATATATGTCGTGCCGAAAATGTAAAACTGGTCAATTAGCAAGAAATCGTTTAAAATTAAGTCCTTTCCAAAATTTTCTCTTACACGTTTAAAGATATATTTTTTTCATTAATGTTAATGTAAATTTTTTTAATTTTGCACCAAAAGAAACTTAGAAAACTTACCTAACCTTGTTTTAACAAGAGCAATTTATTTTAGCCTAGCCCAACTAAATATATTTTAGATTTGTTTACAGTAATTTAATACTAAACAAACACAGTGAAATATATTTTTTCGTTAGGTTCAGAATGATTTTGGCGAAATTATTGCATACACAAATTTTCGCTTGTCCTATATGGCAAGATGAGCGTTGCTATTTAAGCCAAGATCGCAAGTTCTGTCTATTTGGCACGACATATACATATATATATATATATATATACATACTGTATATGTATGTATAGCCAAGACTCACAGCATTGTCCCCAGTCCCTCACTTTAGCATCATTAAATACGTTTTCCCATCACATCACCGCCACTAAACAACTGTGCTGTCTCCTTGCAGGTATTCAGCGGTGAGGGGAAGCGATATGTAAGTACGGTGGACCCTCGTCGTAGCAACTGGACCAGGTACCTGAGACCGGCCCCGGACCGCGACTCAGCCAACCTCGTGGTGGTCCTCAGACCAATCCTGGACCCCAGTGAGTAATCCTCGTGGATAAGGGACGGTAAATGAGACACAGTGAGGAAACGTTTCGCCACTACTGACTCTTGTCGTGGCGAAACGTTTTGTTGATAAGAAATGTTAACACGAAGCATGTGTTTTGTTTCTCTGTGACCCATCTTGTTTTACACCTCTGTTCTTATGTTTATATGAACGAGTGTTCGAGGCTCGAGCCTCCGTCCGCTGATCTCCAGAAAAATGCTAATCATTCAGCCTGACTCTCTGTACAGGCTGGCTCGACCTGGGGTGGCACAGGTGGTCGTAGACCAATCATGTACCCCAGATCAAACTGTAAGGATACCCAGATGCCATGAGCCTGCTCCACTCCCATGAGTCTGCGGCACTCCCATGAGTCTGCGGCACTCCCATGAGTCTGCGGCACTCCCATGAGTCTGCGGCACTCCCATGAGTCTGCGGCACTCCCATGAGTCTGCGGCATTCATCTCTACAGCCGGATGAAGCTGGGGCATCCGGTCGAGGGATGAATTTTTGGAGTCAGATCCCAGATTGTGTGGAGTACTAGCTGACCCCGAGACCTACCTTGCCCCGAGTCCTACCTTGCCCCGAGTCCTACCTTGCCCCGAGACCTATCTTGCCCCGAGTCCTACCTTGCCCCGAGGTAGGTCTCGAGTTTTTATACCTGGCTTTACTTCGTCCTGAGCGTCGCCTTACGTTGAGACCATTCAGACGCAGGCGGTCAATTTTGAACTGCTGCTGTGCTCAATAAGAGCTAGCTCATTTTTCACCTTCTATCCGAGGAAGGGAAAGAAAAAAAATTAGTGTGAGTTTTGAAGGGTAGTTTTTGCTTGTTAGCTCAGTCACTGCTTAAAGTTTGGACGGGGAGAAGCTGGACCAGCTTACTCCCAGTGCCTCTCTCTCTCTCTCTCTCTCTCTCTATTCCTCTCAATTTATCCCTCTGATGTCTCGAATTATTCCCTTCTTTAGTCATCCCACTGTTTCTCCACTCTCTGTTTAAATCTTTCACCCCTATGTGTGGTAACCTCCCCTTCTCTCAACCCTGCGTACAATGACATCCACTTTTCTCAACCCTTCGTACAATGACCTCCCCTTCTGTCAACCCTGCATACAATGACCTCCCCTTCTCTCAACCCTGCGTACAATGGCTCCTCATTTTCTATAATGTCCATTCATTCTTTTTCATTATTAACCATCGGCGTTATCTCTGTCTTGTGCATCCCTGTGAGACTGATGGTAATCTTTCTCTCTCCTACTCCTTATTCTAGCTACAAGTTGATAGTTCTGAGTGGACAGCCTTTGGACTTTCAAGTCCTCTTCTGTCGTTCTCATTACTTCAGTGTACTCTCCTGTACTTCGATGTTCTCTCCTGTACTTCGATGTTCTCTCCTGTACTTCGATGTACTCTCCTGTACTTCGATGTACTCTCCTGTACTTCGATGTACTCATCCTGATCAGTTTTCTCTCTGTTACTTCGATGTTCTCTCCTGTACTTACGAATGTACTCCTGTACTTCGATGTACTCTCTGCTACTTCTGTTCTCTCTCTGTTCCTTCGAATTTATCCTCTGTTCTTCGAATTTTCTCCCTGTACTTTCGATGTCTCTCCTGTACTGATGTCTCTCCGACTTCGATGTTTCATCCTGTACATCGATGTTCTATCCTGTATTCGATGGTACTCCCCTTCTTCGATACTCTCTTACTTCGATGTTCTCCCCTGTCTGTCATGTACCTCTGCCAGTACTTCATGACCTCCCTTCTTCGTGTCTCTCTGTACTATCGATGTACTCTCCGTACTTCGATTTCTCTCCTGTATCGAAGTAGCTCTCTTATTCATTATTCCTGTACTTCAGTGTCTCTCTTACTTCGATGTATCTCTGTACTCGGGTTCTCTCTGTACTTGTGATGTCTCTCCTGTGACTTCGATGTATCTTCTTACTTCGATTTACTCTCCTGTACATTCGATGTTCTATGCACTTACTTCGATGTACTCTCTTACTTCGATCTCTCCTGTACTTCGATGTACTCTCCTGTACTTCAGTGTTCTCTCCTGTACTTCGATGTACTCTCCTGTACTTCGATGTTCTCTCCTGTACTTCGATGTACTCTCCTGTACTTCGATGTTCTCTCCTGTACTTCGATGTACTCTCCTGTACTTCAGTGTTCTCTCCTGTACTTCGATGTACTCTCCTGTACTTCAGTGTTCTCTCCTGTACTTCGATGTTCTCTCCTGTACTTCGATGTTCTCTCCTGTACTTCGATGTTCTCTCCTGTACTTCGATGTTCTCTCCTGTACTTCAGATGTTCATCTCTGTACTTCGATGTTCTCTCCTGTATTCGATGTCTCTCTGTTACTTCGTGTTCTCATCTGTACTTTCGATGTTCTCTCTGTACTTCGATTATCCGTACCAATCATGTTCTTCTGACTTCGTGTATATTATGATTGAAGTTATTATTCCTCATGATTAACTATTATCTCATTGAGTTATAAATTGTCTTTCCTACATTACACAATCATTTAGTTGAACTCTGTTTTGGAAGCTTACATGTCACTTATCTTAGGACAATTACTAATATAAATTTTTCCGAGAAGTTAAAAAATAATTTTGGAATCTGTTAACCCTTGAAGTATTGCAAAAAAATTAAAATCTTCAGAATATAATATTTCGGTTATATGAAACCTCCCTCGACGTGTTACAGAGTAATATATATATATATATATATATATATATATATATATATATATATATATATAATATATATATATTATATTTGCCTCCAGGTGACGACTGTACGGGGATGGTTGTGATGGGCGGCGTGGGTGGCGTGGGCGGCGTGGGCGTGTTCCTCATCACCACCCAGGACGTGAGTGTGGGTCAAGAGCTCATGTTCTGGGCCCATGACCCAACCCTCGCCTGGTCCAGGAAGAAGATGGAGAAGACCAGTAAGTGTTGATGTTATTGTTGATGTTATTGATGTTATTGTTGTGTTATGTGATATTGTTGATGTTATTGTTGATTATTGTGGTGATGTTATTGTTGATGTTATTGATATTGATGTTATTGTGTGATGTTATTGTTGATGTTATTGTTATGTTTTGATGTTATTGTTGATGTTATTGATGTTATTGTCTGATGTTATTGTTGTGTATTGTTGTGATTTTATTGTGTTGATATTATTGATGTATATTGATGTTATTGCTGATGTTATTGTGATGTTATTGTTGAGGTTATTGTTGGTGATGCTATTGTTGATGTTATTATTGGTGATGTTATTGTTCATGATGTTATTGTTGATGTTAGTGTTGATGGTAATGTTTTGATGTTATTGTTGTTATTGATGTTATTGTTGATGTTAGTACTGATGTTATTGTTGGCGATGTTGTTCTTGTTTTATTGATGTTATTGTTGGTGATGTTATTGTTGGTGTTGGTAATATTATTGTTGGCGTTGGTGATTTTAATGTTATTGTTGATGTTATTGTTGGCGTTGATATTGTTGGTGTTCATGTTATTGTTGGTGTTGGATAATGTTATTGTTGGCGTTGATGTTATTGTTTTTGTTCATGTTATTGTTGGTGTTGATAATGTTATTGTTGGCGTTGATGTTATTGCTGTGATTTTTGGTGATGTTATTGTTGGTGTTGTATTGTTATTGTTGGTGTTTTGTATGTTATTTTTATGATGTTATTGTTGGTGTCATTGATGTTATGTTGGTAATGTTATCCATGTTATTCTTGACGACATTGTTGGTAATATATATGTAATATTTGATATTAATATTAACGTTATTCTTATTACATTATTAGTGTCTGAGATGTTATTCATGTTATTTTCGGTGATTTTATTGTTGATTGTGATATTGTTCTTATTGTTAATGGTACTGTTGGTGATTTTTATGGAGGGAGACGAATGTTTTATCGTGTATATTACGCAGACTTGTCATAAAATTGTGTTCTGACGTACCTTACTACACACTGTAGTCCAGGGTTCGATTCCCGGTACGGGTAGAAACATTAGAACGTGTTTCCTTAAGGCAACTCCTGTCCATATTCACCTAGCAGTAAAATAGGTACCTGGATGTTAGTCTGTTGGTGTGGGTCGCATCCTGGAGGACAAAATTGACCTAATTAGCCAGAAAAGCTGTTCGTATCGAGGGGTTTTCTGTGTAGTATGTCAGTAATGTCAGCTATGGTCTGTGTACCTTGTACATGTACTTGTAGAAATAAAGATTATTATTATTATTATTATTATTATTATTATTATTATTATTATTATTATATATAGTGTAAGCGTCTCTCACAGCTGCATCATGTGATTGTATGATCATCTATTCAAAGTAATTTCTCCTTGATCCCTTTCTCCTACTCTTTTTTCAACACGTCTCTCTCTCTCTCTCTCTCTCTCTCTCTCTCTCTCTCTCTCTCTCTCTCTCTCTCTCTCTCTCTCTCTCTCTCTCTCTCTCTCTCTCTCTCTCTCGCTCTCTCTCGCTCTCTCTCGCTCTCTCTCTCTCTCTCTCTCCCTCTCTCTCCCTCTCTCCATATTACTCTCTCCCCATGTTTCTCCCAATTGAGTCTTGATGATGGTCTGGGATGTGGCCGAAACGTCGTCTGAGGTATATTCTGAACGTGGGGTTATTTGTAAATTGTCTTAGCGACGGTATTGTGTGTTTCAGCCAAGATAGTGTGCTTCACTCAAGATATTGTGTGTTTCAGCCAAGATATTGTGTGTTTCAGTCAATATATTGTGTGTTTCAGTCAAGATATTGTGTGTTTCAGTCAATATATTGTGTGTTTCAGTCAAGATATTGTGTGTTTCAGCCAAGATATTGTGTGTTTCACTCAAGATATTGTGTGTTTCAGTCAATATATTGTGTGTTTCAGCCAAGATATTGTGTGTTTCAATCAAGATATTGTGTGTTTCAGTCAATTTATTGTGTTTAAGTCAGGAGCCTGGTTGATCAGGCTCTGATCCACCAGGAGGCCTGGTCACAGACCGGGCCGCGGGGGCGTTGACCCCCGGAACTCTCTCCAGGTAAACTCCAGGTATATTGTGTATAAGTCACGGTATTGTGTAAATCACGGTATTGTGTGTTTAAATTAAGGTATTGTGTGTTTCAATTACGGTATTGTGTTTAAAATCACGGTAGTGTATGTATTAGTCACTGTATTGTGTGTCTAAAGCATGATACTGTGTCTCAGTCACGGTATTGTGTGTTTATGTCAAGGTATTATATTCCAGTCAGGTATTGTGTGTGTAAATCGCGGTATTGTGTGTCTCAGTCACAATATTGTGTGTCTGTCACAATATTGTGTATCTCAGTCACAATATTGTGTGTCTCAGTCACAATATTGTGTGTCTCAGTCACAATATTGTGTGTCTCAGTCACAATATTGTGTGTCTCAGTCACAATATTGTGTGTCTCAGTCACAATATTGTGTGTCTCAGTCACAATATTGTGTGTCTCAGTCACAATATTGTGTCTCAGTCACAATATTGTGTGTCTCAGTCACAATATTGTGTCTCAGTCACAATATTGTGTGTCTCAGTCACAATATTGTGTCTCAGTCACAATATTGTGTGTCTCAGTCACAATATTGTGTGTCTCAGTCACAATATTGTGTCTCAGTCACAATATTGTGTGTCTCAGTCACAATATTGTGTGTCTCAGTCACAATATTGTGTGTCTCAGTCACAATATTGTGTCTCAGTCACAATATTGTGTGTCTCAGTCACAATATTGTGTGTCTCAGTCACAATATTGTGTCTCAGTCACAATATTGTGTGTCTCAGTCACAATATTGTGTGTCTGTCACAATATTGTGTGTCTCAGTCACAATATTGTGTGTCTCAGTCACAATATTGTGTGTCTCAGTCACAATATTGTGTGTCTCAGTCACAATATTGTGTGTCTCAGTCACAATATTGTGTGTCTCAGTCACAATATTGTGTCTCTCAGTCACAATATTGTGTGTCTCAGTCACAATATTGTGTGTCTCAGTCACAATATTGTGTGTCTCAGTCACAATATTGTGTGTCTCATCACAATATTGTGTGTCTCAGTCACAATATTGTGTGTCTCAGTCACAATATTGTGTGTCTCAGTCACAATATTGTGTGTCTCAGTCACAATATTGTGTGTCTGTCACAATATTGTGTGTCTCAGTCACAATATTGTGTGTCTCAGTCACAATATTGTGTGTCTCAGTCACAATATTGTGTGTCTCAGTCACAATATTGTGTGTCTCAGTCACAATATTGTGTGTCTCAGTCACAATATTGTGTGTCTCAGTCAAATATTGTGTGTCCCAGTCACAATATTGTGTGTCTCAGTCACAATATTGTGTGTCTCAGTCACAATATTGTGTCTCAGTCACAATATTGTGTGTCTCAGTCACAATATTGTGTGTCTCAGTCACAATATTGTGTGTCTCAGTCACAATATTGTGTCTCTCAGTCACAATATTGTGTGTCTCAGTCACAATATTGTGTGTCTCAGTCACAATATTGTGTGTCTCAGTCACAATATTGTGTGTCTCAGTCACAATATTGTGTGTCTCAGTCACAATATTGTGTGTCTCAGTCACAATATTGTGTGTCTCAGTCACCAATATTGTGTCTCTCAGTCACAATTTGTGTGTCTCAGTCACAATATTGTGTGTCTCAGTCACAATATTGTGTGTCTCAGTCACAATATTGTGTCTCAGTCACAATATTGTGTGTCTCAGTCACAATATTGTGTCTCAGTCACAATATTGTGTCTCAGTCACAATATTGTGTCTCAGTCACAATATTGTGTCTCAGTCACAATATTGTGTGTCTCAGTCACAATATTGTGTGTCTCAGTCACAATATTGTGTGTCTCAGTCACAATATTGTGTCTCAGTCACAATATTGTGTGTCTCAGTCACAATATTGTGTGTCTCAGTCACAATATTGTGTGTCTCAGTCACAATATTGTGTGTCTCAGTCACAATATTGTGTGTCTCAGTCACAATACTGTGTGTCTCAGTCGCAATATTGTGTCTGTCACAATATTGTGTGTCTCAGTCACAATATTGTGTGTCTCAGTCACAATATTGTGTGTCTGTCACAATATTGTGTGTCTCAGTCACAATATTGTGTGTCTTCAGTCACATATTGTGTGTCTCAGTCACAATATTGTGTGTCTCAGTCACAATATTGTGTGTCTCAGTCACAATATTGTGTGTCTCAGTCACAATATTGTGTGTCTCAGTCACAATATTGTGTGTCCTCAGTCACAATATTGTGTGTCTCAGTCACAATATTGTGTGTCTCAGTCACAATATTGTGTGTCTCAGTCACAACTTTCACTCTCCATATGTTCAATACTTCATCAAAATCATCAAATATTTTCCACTCCACATACCATCCACCTCCACAACCATCACCTCACATACCATCCCCTCCACAACCATCCACTTCCACAATATCCACCTCCACAACCATCCACCTCCACAACCTATCCACCTCACACAAGCTCCACCTCCAATATAGCCAACATCCACCTCCACACAACCATCACCTCACAACCATCACTCACCTCCACAGACCATCCACCTCCACAACCATCCACCTCCACAACCATCCACCTCCACAACCATCTCAAACCTCCACAACCATACCACCTCCACAACCATCCACCTCCACAACCATCCACCTCCACAACCTCCACCTCCACAACCATCCACCTCCACAACCATCCACCTCCACAACCATCCACCTCCACAACCATTCCACCTCCACAACCATCCACCTCCACAACCATCCACCTCCACAACCATCCCCCACAACTCCACAACCATTCCACCTCCACAACCATCCACCTCCACAACCATCCACCTCCACAACCATCCACCTCCCACAACCATCCACCTCCACAACCATCCATTCAAACCTTACTCCACAACCATCCACCTCACAAC